AGATACTAGGGCTCGGAAGTTACAGATGCCAGTGACTTTCACCTAGTTCAACCCCCTGCTTACAGCAGGGTCAACTAGAGCAGGTTGCTCAGGGCCTTGTCCATTTAGATTTTGAATGTCTCCAAGGATGGAGACTCTCCAAAGTCTCTGGGCAATCTGTTCCAGTGTTCAACCACCTTCACTGTAAAAAAGTTTAAATGGAATTTCGTGTATTTCAATCTGTGCCAGTTGCCTCTTGTTCGTTCACTGGATACCACTGTGAAGAGTCTGGCTCCATCTTCTTTACACCATCTTATCAGATGTTTATACACATTGATAAGATCCCCTCTATGCCTTTTCTTCTCCAGGCTAAAGAGTCCTAGCTCTCTCAGCCTCTCCTCATATGACAGATGCTCCAATCCCTTAATCATCTTCATGGCCCTTCAGTGCAAGTTGCTCAAGGAAACATGAAATCTGATAAATTCTAGCTGGAAGGTGGTGACAGGAAAAAAAACAGGTAGGAAAATAAAAGCATACGGAAGATCATCTGGCGAGACCGGTGAGCTCTAGCTGAATCTGATTAACCTGGAAGATCCACTGGAATTGCTAAAAATGATCAATGCCAGAGTAGAAGACATACTTCAGCTCTCTAAAATAAGTGAGAGTGATTCACACCAAGCCATATCCAGAAGGATGACACTGAAACCTGAAAGGGCCCCAGAACCACCAATATCTAACAGGACTGTCTTTGGTGACACAAAGCTAATATAAATAATTCATAGATCTGTGCTAAAACTTATTACTAGAAGGCATGAGGAGTACAAGGCAATAAGAGAAAGTTTGACTCTCTTGTCTGGCCTTGTGAACAGAGGCTATTCTTATAGGATCAGCTGTATCAAGATTTTATAGGCAGAGAGGGTAGGCAACTGCAACATATGCAGACTGATATTGCTAATAGATACATTATTTGTATTTTATTTTGTTCAGTTCCGCATCCACTTACAACTGTGGAAAGCTCTGAAGAGAGACCTCTGAAAGAGGCAGGGTCCGATCCGTCATATAAAAATGTATCTGGAGCAGTGCATGTGGGAGCACTGTTAGAGAAGGGCCAGACTACTTCTATCCTATCTGAACAAGAGTGCTGCCTTTTGTTACCCTAAAAGGCCATGAAAATAGGATGTAAATGCTTGTAGAAGTGTGTGTTTGTGTGCGACACAAACATCCTCTCCACTGTGCAGAGAGCGTTCCAGAAAATTTGTTATAATCCAGTGTAGTGCTCACTGGGGTGTGTGATTTGCTCCAACAGGGCACTGCATTTCCAGAGATGGTGTCCATCCTACTCACCTCTGCTGACCTGTGCTGACCTCTGTGACCTTGTTTTGCTGGGTCCTTGCTTCAGTGTTGTGACTGCCCCAAGAGAGTGTGCTGTGTACAACCCTGTGTATTGTTGTAGCTACCTGGTAATTTGCCATGTGACAGTGTAGATCCTAGCCTTAAGTATGGTACAGAGAAGCTGAATGAGCAAAGTGTTGTGCTAGGGTCCACAGATCAGCTCGAAAGTAAAATGAAGTGCTAGAAACAAGGAGCTTAATCTGTTCATAAGCCCAGCAGAGAACAATATAGACACAGTATGCTGAAAGACAAATAGGATGTCTTATACAAATGTCAGAACAATCCCAAAATGCCTTGGAGTAGTGGAGCCCAGAAGTACAGACCAAGTCCTTTGAGTATACTGCCCCTTCCCATCCTCCTGTGATGTCTTGAGCCATGATGACACTGGGAATGATCTGTTTTACTTTTTTTTAAGTAACAATTTTTCTTCTTCTCCCCATTGTTATTGGAATAACCTTAAGAAGGCTATCGTGTCCTGCAGTCTAGTGCAGGGAAAGGCAGGTTGAACCCAAAGGTGGCTTTTTGCCTGTGCAGCCATCCTCAGTGGCCTGGCAAGGAAAATGGCAGCAATGTGCAGGAGCGAGGTGCTCTGATTTTTGCCAGCTGGGATCAGGGGAGTGACTGCTTCTAGGAACTGTCAATGACACTGTGAAAGGGGATGAGTGAACCAGGAGGGCAGGGAAGCAGTATCTGCACAAGGGCATCCTTCCATCTCATCAGTTCTTTACAAAACTGGCTACAACTCCAGTCCTGTCAAGTGCAATCAGAGGTAGCCTGGAGCCATGCATACATCTCCTGCTCTATGAGCAGAACCTGATGGACAAACTGTTGTTCATTTACTGCTCTTTGCTGCATCCCAGCTGGGGGCGGAGGACCTCCAGAACCATTTTCCTCTGTTGCCTCCATGACCGGAGGCCTTCTTCCCTCAGGGCAGACTCCATAACAATGATCACTTTGAGGGGCCTTTGCAAGCAGCCAGTCTTTCAGCTCTGTAGTGTGATCACCAAGGAACACGAGCTCCTGATGCACAAGTATGTCTGCTGGTGGGTCCTAGACACTGACCATCTGTGCTTGTCATGATCCAGGACCTGTTAGTGTGGCCCATCTGAAATTTCCCAGTTGTGTCCTCCCCCTCGGCAGTGGCTTCTCAGTGAGTGGGGACTCTTAGCTCTTTGCAACTCAGTCACGGAATGGGTCTAATGTAGGTGAACCTGCAGAGGGACCTTTCCCCCTTGAAGATGGATTCCTTGACTTGGGCAGTCAAAAAGCCAATTTTGGTATATTCCTGCCCTAAAACTAATTCTCTCTCTGTTCCTGTGGCTTAGCCACTGGCTTCCAAATGCTGTCCACAGCTTCAGGTTGCCCTGAGCTGCTGGCAGCAGTTGTGCATGGGCATTACACGGCCACAGAGTTAAAAGCTGCTTGCTTATTCTCTAGTTTGTCGTCAGAACTATTTCAGACACTAACAGGTAGAATATGGCTGCTATACAAGCTTGTCAATTTTATTTTAGAGAAGAAGCTTTCTGCTACTGCACTCAACGATCTTTTAACAAGTCTTCATTCCCATGAACTTCCCAAGTGCTTGTTGGAGGGCAAGTGTTCCAATATCCAAGCAGTACCTTTTGTGACACCTCTTAAAAGTGACCATGCTAATGTGGAAATAGGATTCGCTTCCAGGCAGGTAACAACTTCAAACTGAATTTATGATCTGAGGGATGGATGAGGTTCTCATAGTCAAATACAGCAAAGCAGATGTGTGTGGAGCCAGGGCTAATGAAGGTGAGCAGAAGGAGAGAGCGAGTGTTCACACAGTAGTTGGTGATCTGATTTAAGGGACAGACAAAGGCAGGAAAAATGCCGTAGGGATGGTTAGGGCTTCCCTGCAGCCAAAGGGTACTTAGTCAGCAAGGCCAGTGTTAGAAGCAGGTTCGAGATGAGTTTCTGGAGTATTTGAGGTCCTGAATGGAGGGACATGAAGAGTACCGGCTAAGCAAAAGGAATGAAGGGTGGTGTGACAAGAGAGGAGCATCTCCATGAAGGAATGCCAGAGCCATGTCCATCCAGTCTGTACCCATTAGGAGGAATATTAGAATTTCATGAACACACACTGTGCTTTTGCCCATGAATCAACAGCCAGGCTAGTAAATACCCTAGCACTCCAACTGTTCCACTGTGAGGCAGAGGCCTGGTCACAGAAGGTTCTCGCCACACTTTGGGCTGCTGATTGCAAAGTAGCAGCACAGAACCGGGGACTGAGCTTCCTCTTACTATGGAAGACTTTTTCTAAATCGCTGCAGCGCTGAGCATTGAAAGCCTACCCCATAGCCGAGGCATGATCATGTAGAGAGGCAGTCTGATAGCAGCAGCAGCTGTATTATCTATTCTGTTAAGAGAGTGCGGAGTTGTTTAATTGGGAGATGGGATTCTAAAGACAGCCTGTGAAGCCGCATGCTGAAAGGTAGAGAAGAACACAGATATATTAATAGTAAGCAGAAAGACCAAATCTCATCATTCCTTGTTTGCTTATCCAGGATTTCGGGATAAGGAGTATGCATGTATGCTCTCTCTTCCTCAGTCAAGGCTGTGCAACTCAGATCTGAAACAGCCTTTTCAATACATAAATTGCTGTTCAAGCACAGCAATGAGTGACAGCGTTGTTATACTGCACATTTGGCATTATGAAGGTAGAGGACCTGGACTGCAGTCAAGCAGTATTTGTCCGTAAACGTCACTGCCCATTAAAAGGGGGAAGTGATCTCACAGAGATATGCACTAATGCATAAAAAAACAAGAACCTGGGCTCCTATTACACATGTCCTAGATGCTGGATCGTTAAGTGAGACAGGTAGCACGGGTAACCAGCACGAAGTAGGGAAGACATGCACCAGAGGAGCACCATTGTCATATGAAGACAGAGCATGGTTGTCAATGTATGTGAGCTGTTCTGTTTGCTTAGTTACCAGAAACTGGGAAAGATGGAAGTCACAGACTCCTACCTTTACCTGTTCCAGTGGTGGATAGTTATGTCCATCATGTCTGAACTGACGTAGGGGCATATTGTACATCCTCGTATCCTTGCCTCTTGGCCCTCTAGTTACCTAGAATGGAGACCTGTATGAGCGCACTGTAGCTCTTGACCAGCCTGTGTGCTCTGCTTTTCTTCCCATGCAATCCATGATGCAGGAGGGCAGGGGAGGGTGGTTTGCTGCATGGCCAGATCTCACCCTATTGTGTGTTCAAGTTAAGATTGTTGTTTGATTTGATGTGCAAAGTATTTGTAGACAAAAAAAAAAAAAAAGACAGGCAAAATTTTCTAACAAGTAATGTCATTTAATGAATGGTACGCTCTAGAAAATAGAAACTAGCCAGATGCTGGTTGGTAGGTCTGTTTGGGGTGGGGGGAAGGCCCTTGTCTGCATACACAATGCCTTCTTTGGCCTCTTTTGGCAGCAGCTGTAGTTACTGGAAACAAGGGAGCATCCATATATTGAAAGAGACACTAAGGGGGTAAATTTTTTCAAAAATGTAGAAAGTACGCAGAACATCTTCCCACCCTGTCTCATCAGGTAAGAGTGATACGAAGGGCTCGGAGCTCACCAATGTGTTTACAGATAAACTCCTACCTAGAAGGGATAGACCCAGCTAACTTTACACACAACAGTTCAGTGCTCTGAAAACATCAGAGATTTCTCATCTTGCAGAAGATTTTGTGGACTATGCTGTTATTGCACTTCTTTCTGTGTCCTTTTCTGCACGTTATGTCTCTTCCCTCAAGGTCTGACTGCTAATTCCAGGGAATATGCTTTTCAGAATGTCACGGTACACTGTGTATAACTCAGGGTCTATTTTGGGCTTGGGCAGAGATCTTGAGTTGCAGGCCTGTTCGGTGACTGAGTGCTGTAGCAAGTACACATCACTGAAGAGCACAGTTAGGATTTTGTGTGCAGCTTTGTAAGGATCCTCTTCAAACTCCACCATTGCCTTGAGCTCATTTAGGGTGTAGCCGTTGTAACGCTTGCTATCTTCTGCCAGGGGCTGCACTGTCTCACCAACGTGTCTCACTTTCCACTTCAAGCATTTCAGTTCTTCTCTTACATCTTCTAGTTCTTTCTCCATGGCTTGGAATTCCTTCACAGTTACAAATCTCCTGCCAAGAAAAGAAATGGCAGATGCACTGTGGAATTCACTGGCTCACTAGGATAAAATCAGTCCAGCTTTCTGGGGCCAGAGCCTAGAACCTGAGGTTTGGGATGGAAGATACCTGCCATGTCACTGAATACAATCTCCACCTCTCATTTGTCAGACTTTATAGTAACAGCAGGTTTTCTCTGCTGCTACTGTGATTAAGAGATTCTTCCAGAGCTTGATCATGCTGTTAATTAAGAGGCTTTTTCCAGTGTCCACACAGACTGTGTTTATGGCCTTTTTGCCTTTATGTCAATTTTGGTATTTTGTTTAAACTCCTTTCCCTCCCCAGAGGGAGGCTACACCCTTCTAACTGCGGCCAAACACAGCAGTTTTGTTGTGATATTTGGATTTGGGGTACTGGTGTCACTTGAATGGGGAATGTTGTTCCATAAGTCTCACCTGGAAGCCCAACACTGAATGATAACAGTATCAGCCCATTAGAGGATAAAGAAGGAATGATGGAGGGGGGAGGTAAGCTGTATTATGACAATTCTGCTTCCCAGGTGGCGGTGACTAGTGTAATGAGGGATGCATTTTCTCATTTGAAAGGAAATGAGACCACCTTAAAACTGTGCCCTGTTTAAGGAGCTGAGATTGACAATCTGGCCCAGACATGGTCTGTAATCCGGTCTGGATAGCCAAAGGAATGTATGGAAAATATAGTATTTTGCTTCTCAAACAGATGTTAGTGGGAACATACAGTCATTACTAGAAAATAAACACCGGGAACATGTAAATCATTAAAGGGTATTTAAAGCATTTGATAAGCAGTTGTTTGATGACCCTGTACCATCTGTATTAAGTTGAGTTATTTAGTGACTTAAACATACATATGATCTTGATACATACCTTTCATGATCAGGATCTTCCAGATCTGATTCAAAACCCTTTCCTGTAGTCTTTAATTCAGTATTAGAATAGTCAGGAGACTGGGAACTATCTTCAGGAGTCGTTGTTGGAGGCCTTGTGCTTTTCCTGGGTGGGGTCAGTGTGTGGTCTGATGCTGAAGCTTTTAAGTTTTGTGCTGTGTGAGGACAAAAGGAATAGAAGGAACTTGCATTGATCCCTGGACTGACTGGAGAGGAGTCAGAGAATTGCTGTGGACTGGCTGAGCTGGGTGTCAGACTGAGCCTGGGGCTGGCTGGGCAAGATGCTGGAGTTGTTCTTGCACTGAGTGGGCTGGAGCCTGATGTTGCTAAATGTTTATTTCTTTGCTCCAATGGCTGAGGATTTGGTGATTCTCCTGGGGCCAATCTAGTGATGGAGACAACGTCCAACAGGGCTTGATCCTGAACCATGGAGATCTGGCTGGCTGGTTTTGATGAAAGTGAAGAGCTTTTTGATGTGTTGCTAGAAGAGCTTGACGTAGTGAATGGGGGTATTTTCTGAGCGTTATGGTCACTCCTGTTCCTCTGCGTGTTAGTGACATTTAGAGCTGGGTGTTGTGAAGCCCTGAGGAAAGATAAACAAATACTTTTTCCCTGGACTGGACTGAAGGCTTATAAAGCACTTTTAGGCCTATTTTGGGCCAAAATTAAGCCTTTTTCCCACAACCTGGTTCTCCCATTGTTTGATTTGCTTCTCATATCTCTATAACACCCTCTGCTCCTGACAGCCAACAGCAAAGTGTTAGAGAATAAGGCACATCAATTCAAGATCAGTTCCTCCCTGGTGTCACCTTATCTATATTGTCAGTGTAATTCCTGGCACATCAGTATTTCCTTCTTGAAGTCACAGAGGCTCTATGAGAACCAAGGGCTTGGTGCTGGGGATGGGGACAGGGAGGGCAGAAAGTTACTGGTACGTTGAGAGTGACAATTACAACATGAATGAAAAGAGATGAGATTGACTTGCAAGTCGCCTTGGGCTTTCCCACAGCACTGGCCCTTGATCATCGCTGCCAAGTGTAAAGACCTGCATTCACCTTGGACCTGCACGCTTTAGACTCCTGCTAGAGCTGCACAGTATTTTTGTTGCCCAGTGAATCAGGAGAGGAATAAACAGACAAGGTAAAGGTAGAAGGGCAACACAGAATGACATCATCAGTCCTGCAGGGATATTATAGGTCACTTTTGTACAGCCCAGAGATGTAGACTTCTACAAGGCTGACCTTCTAGGTGGCTTGAAATGCCAACTGGATAGGATCCAAGCTACCTCCCCCAAACGTTGTTCCCTGTACTTGTCTCCTGGCTGCTGCCAGGCAGGAGACATCCCACCAGTTTTTGTTCTATGGTTAAATTACATTTAGTTTGACAAGACACTGATGGCAAGGCTAGAAAATGGACCCATGTAACCTGAAAGTGCTCTCCTGGATAATAAGAACAGTGAGAACCTTGAAAGGGAACATGAACATACATGAACATTCATGATCCAGAATTTCTAACAACTAAAAGATACAATGCACTTTCACAGCAGCACCAGTGACCAGGTCGGTCTCCTTGGGCATCTGGTATGTTCACGTTCCTCTTATGGTTGAAGACAACAGAGAAGCCAGGCCTGGATGTGTTATAGGCAATCTGGTGCATGAGGGAAAGCACAATCCTGTTCTATTAGTACCAAAAGCAGAATGAGCTACTTATCAACTTCTCCACCTCCTTGTACGTTTGTCAGTGTTTGATAAAAGCAAGCCACAAATTTTTATGGCCCAAAACAGCATTGCCTTTGGTGCAGGGGGGAGATGGTGGTCACACAGTTAAGGCTTTTGCTATATTATCACGTTTAAATGAAATGTAGGGTTATTATAATTGGAAGAGCAGAGAGTCACAGTTCTACTGAATAAAAACCAGAGGTCTTTAAAAAAGAAGCATAAAATGTGTTATAAAAAAGGCAGGAAAGAAAGCAAGAATGCACATGTCAGAAGGAGCAGTCCTTCCCAGAAATGCCTTGCTTTCATAAACTGAGTGAATAGGGATTGGGAAGACATTCCCATTGTAGTAATTAGAGAAGCTAAAGAGCAGGATCTAAGATGCAAAATGGAAAGAGCAGTGTGGTAGAACAGCAGGCTTCCTACCTGCAAGGAGGACAAACATGAGCCAATGCAGCAGAATTCAGGAGAGAGCAGTCTGAACTCCTGCTGCTCTCAACTGTCAACCCAGCTGCCAAAGGCAGAATGTGACATGTTCAAGGCCAAGGCACTAGGGATGGAGCTGTGTGTACTTGTCAGGGGTTTGGAAAGCTCTTAGCTAACTGAGTCACAGTTTGTCAGGAAAGGTAAAGCATTGCTGTAGCCAGAAAAAAAGTCACATTTGGGGGAATATGGATGCTTTTGCAGGTTCCCTGCTTTTTTTCCTCTTCCTCCTTCTTTGACAAAAGGTTTCTATTTGCTAGTGTAAACTGTTCTTTGGTTGGCTAGTACAGCTTTTTTTTCCTGCGGTTAACTCCTGCCTGTCTGTGTGTAGCTTAAATGGTCTAGAACCCATATCAGAGATAAGTGGAGATATCTTGGACCCATGGCCTAGGATTGTGCTCAGCCCTGGGATCTTGCCATCACTTGGGCATCATCAATAAAGATATTGTTAAAATTATTCCTTTAGTAAAATGGAGAAATCATATTCCTTCTCTCTTTTACTACCTTCCTGTGAACAATATGCCCCATTGTAAATGATCAGAAACTTGAAACAGCTTCAAAATGCAGTCTTCTCCAAACAAAATTTGAAATGAAATGGAAAACTTTGCAGCTACAGAGGTAGGTTCAAGCACTTCATCCTCTTTCCTACTTGTCATAATCATCCATTTTCTGAAATAGCCCAGCACATCCTTATATATTCCTTCCTAATATGTAAACAGGTTTATACATCTACTGTAGCAAATGAATATAATTCTTAAAGTTTGTCACCTTTTACCAATTGCTAAGTTGAAACTTATTTGCCATTTAAGCTAAGACACTGCTAGTAGAAAAGCATACTTAACTGAACAATTTCTCTTAAGGGTAGTGTTACAGAGAATGTTTTAATTTTGGTCTTCAGTATTAAGGTTCTCTGACAGAATTTAAGGCCCAATTCTTAAACAGCTATCCAGGGATCTGAAAAGTCTTTAAAACAGCTTTTATACAGAAGTTCAAAAAAAAACAAACCAAAACCCTAATCTGATGCTTTCAAAGAACATTGACTTTTTCTATACAACTAGTTTACTGTTCATTTTCTAAAGGGGCTTAGAAAGCTACCTCTTATGATCTTCTAGCTCTGGAATTAATATTTTCATTCTTTATTTACCTGAAAACATATATATTGCTGAAAAGCACCTCTAACAAGGAGATGGTTCAAAGGATAATTGAGGTCATTTTGCAGAATAAACTCCAGGCCAGATTTTTCAAATGTGTTGAATCATGGCTCTATTTCAGCTCACTGAATATGCTTTACTTTAGTGCTCCAGCAAAATCCAGTCCTAAATATTTAGATCTCTATGTAACATGTGCAAAAGGAAAATGAACCCAGTGACAAAACTTCGTGAAGAAAGTCTTTAGCAGACCAAGCCTGAGGTGTCTTGGATGATGTTAGGAGTGCTTCAAGGACCTCTAGTTTTCTGTGCCATTGGTCACACACGGCATGGCATGACACTCATCAAAGCATGATGTGCAGAACTTGCAGCAGCGTCTGGTGAGGGGAAGGGTTCATAGCACAGGACTTGCTGTTCCTGTAAGAGAGGGGGGAAAGGCTGATCCATAGTGCACCTGGTTAACTGCAGAGCAGAATCCAGTACCCATTCAGCATGTAACTGTTACCCAGACAATGCTGCCGTGGGCAAAAGCAGGTGAGTCATGACTTGCTTTCATGTCAGAACGTAGGAACTCAGTAGAAACACTGGGCCATGCTCCTGTCTCATCACCACAGCAAGTGCTCCTGAAAACCTAAGCTGGGATTTTTAAAAATGTCTAAGGGATTTAGGCACTGAGATCCCTGATAAAGAAAGGGGAATACTTAGTTGCCAGGATATTTCTGAAAACATCATTTCCATCCTCATGGCAGGAACTACATGAGTACCTTGGCTGCCACTCTCTCAGATTTCTGATGCTGCGTTACTCGGACTCCAGTCACGTCAGCTTTCATAATAATGGTGCTCACGTCTTCATTGCTATTGTAGCGATCTTCCTCTTCTCTTCTGCTACTGCTCCTCACTTTTGTTTTCCTCTGACCCAACTCTCTTGTTTCAATGCAGGCTTGAGGCTGGCTGGCTAGAAAGCAGCTTTGCAGAACAAATAGGAGTCAGCAGTGTGCCCTTGCAGCAGAGAAGACCAACCACATCCTGTGCTGTATAAGCAAGAGTGCAGCCATCTAGGTGAGGGAAGGCGTTTTTCTCTGTTCAGAAATTGTGAGACTGCATTTGGAGTACTGTGTCTAGTTTGGACCTCTCCAGGTCAAGAAAGACATTGAGGTACTGGAGTGAGTCCAGGGAAGGGTCATCAGGATCGTTGGGGACTGTAGCATATGGCATACAAGGAAAGGTTTAGAGAGCTGTGGTACATCCTGGGAGAAGAGAAGGTGAAGGGGTGATCTTGCCATCTACAGCTAACGGAAGAGTGTAGAGAGCATGGAGCCAGACTCTTCTCAGAGGTGAACGGGGACAGGATGAGAGGCAACAGACCCAGGGCGGAATACACAAATTTCCAGCTAAGGAAATGCTTTTTCACCACAAGGATGGTCAAACACTGGGACAGGGGCCCAGAGAGGTTTTGGGATCTCTATTGTTGGAGATACTCAGAACTCAGCTGGACAAGGAACTGAGCTGCGTGTTCTAATGGATGTGTTCTGACCAGTGGTTTGGATTAGAGACCTCCAGAGGTCCCGTCCACCCCTGCGTTGTTCTGCGATTCAGTGGTTCTACCTAACTCACTCAGAAGCAAAGCACTAGTGTCTCCCACGAAAACACCCCTTCTTTCTCCCACAATTTCCCTTTCTCCCTTCCCTTTTCTCTCCTCTGACTCCTGTCTCACCATTCTTCTCTTCCATTCCACCAGCCTCTCTGGGCTGTCCCCTTCCTTACTGGCATTACACTTGCCTGTTGCAGGAGACACTTTCAAAAATAAAAAGCTTTTTAAAGGGAGGGGATTGTTATTTGCAGCCCTCTGGCTTAGTCTGATTGCTCCCCCCTTTTTCACAGAAGTCAAAGTCAATAGATCAGGCCTTTGGAAAAGTGGACTGTTGGAGCAAAGATAACTTGGAGCTGGGCGTCTTTGGCTGCTGCTTCTCCTTTGGAATGTGAGTTGCTGTTTCTCAGGCTCTCTTGAAAGCAAGGAATGCTGTATCGGTGCATGTTTGGTCATGCCATGCGTGTTTTCACAACATGTGAATATGACACAGGCGAAGGTGACTGTTCTTCATCTCT